GCTCTGCCTCCTCTACAGAGCCACTCCTGGGGCGAGGGGCCGGAGCAGCAGCCTGGGTGGAATTTGCCAACTCGTCCGGCTCTTGCTGAGCTAACCCAGGGGCCTGTGGCCCTTTGCAGCTGCGCAGCACCGGAGAACAGCAGACCCCTGGGGCTGCCTCCTGCCACCAGCTCCCCCAGCACCCTCAGACCTGATTGAGGGGCTCCCGGGTCACTAGCTGCACTTGCATTCGGCCGCGTGTTGGGGAACCTCGGGCCAAGCCCCAAGCGCCTGGTAGTTCCAGCAGCTCTGCCGCCCTCCTTGCATGCCCGGCTCTGCCGCTGGCCCCGGAGCAGCCCCCGGGGGGGGCGGTCTCGAGCGAGGGGCATGAGCAGAGATTAGCGGGGCGCCTGGCTGCCGCCAGCATCTCAGTCTCGCCCTCCGGCAGCGCCATTAACGAGCCCCCGGGGCCCAGGGGAGAGAAAATGCTGTTTATTTACCTGCCTTCCGCTCCGCCTGTTCCCTGGCTCCCTGCGCCCGTGGGGGCAGCTTATGTAACACACCCAGCCCGGCAGATCGTCTTCGCCAGGCGGCACGGCCGCTCCTCAGACGGCCCCCGTGGCAGGCTGGCTCCCGGCCACCTCTCGGCCTCCACGTGCCTGTGTCCAGGCCCAGGGAGTCCCTGTCCTCTCTCCTCGTGCCCCGCACAGCCCGGCCAACCCCAGCAGGGTCGCCTCAGCCCGGCTGGCCCAGGCCGCCACAAGTGACTCCCTGCACCCAACAGTAGCAGCGGGCTCGGGGCCGTCCTGCTCCGCACAGCCCTGCGCCCCAGGAGGGGGTGGAAGGGAGGCCGAGGGGGATCTGCTGGCCCGGGGCAGGCGGGAGGCAGAGCCTGGCTGGACAGTCGCCCTGGCTGAGGACTGAAAACCTGCCTGACCCCCGATAGCCCTGGCGGAAGGCTCCTTGCCCTGAAACGGGCTGCCCCACAGGGCACTGGCACTGGCAGCTGAAGGAATGGAGCCGGGCCCCACTGCGCAGCGAGCAGGGCTCAGCAGGAGGCCAGGCAGGTGCCAAAGCTGGGGCTAGAGCGCTCCCGGGAGACAGGGCCGTTGATTGCTGCCTCGTGGAGGGGCAGGCTCCCCCGCGCCCAGCACCACCCCTCTCCGGAGTGGCAGCACCCGGCTGCCCTGTCCGTGCGCAAAGCAGAGAACAAGCAAGAGCAGCCCGGCTCCCCGCAGAGACCTCAGCCAGCCTGGCGCTAACGTAGGGTCTGCCAGGCATTGCCCCGGCTGTGACGTAGTGGGGGGTAACCTGCTAACTCTCTGGCTGCTGTCTGTAGCACCACCGAGCAGACAAGCGATGAGTCACTATGCAAAGAGGGTATCCCAACTGGTTTGGCCAGCTGACCCCCATGGAGAGGAACAAAGGAAGGTGGATGCTGCCCTGGCTGGGGGGCAGGGCTGGAGGAGGGTGAGTTAGTGCCTGTCTGGAAAGCAGGGAAGAAGGAACTGGGGAGGGGGCTGGGATCCCCCCATCTCAAGGGGGGCACTGAGGCCTCTTAGCCCCAGTTCCTGTAACCAGATTACATCTGTGCTGTGCTGTATCCTGGAGGAGCAATAAACCACCCTCAAATCCACTGGCTGGTGGAGTCTGTTTGTGCCATTTCGGGGTGCAGGAGACGGGGGACCCCCAATGCGCCGTCACACCGGCCCACTGCTAAGGCCGCTGGGAGCAGAGAGCAGGCTGGCTGGGCTGGAGCACAGCAACTGGTCACCTAGAGGGCCAGAGGGAGTTTGAGAAAGGCCATTGTGAGAGGTAGCTCGTCAGTCTCTCTCTGCCTCCCAGGGCAGGGCTCACCAAGTGCCCAAGCCACAGGCCCAAGGCATCTCTGGAGATCAGAGAGTTTGCAGCAGGCAGGAAGCTGGACCCCGTGTGGCTGCCAGCCCGCCGGACATTCATCGTCTGCCGGGGGACAGCCGCACATCTGCAGACGGTGGGTTATCACCCTGGAGACGTGCAAATTGCTGTGTCACTAGGGCAGGGGTGAGGAACCGAAGGCCTGGGGGCCGGATTTGGCCCCCATCTTGCCTGAATCCAGCCCCCCAGGCTCAGGGCTCCCTCCAGCATTGGGGAGCCTGTGTTGCCCCCCACCTTCGCTGTTCGCCATGGGGCTGGAGCACACAAAATCTACTAGCCAGAGGAATGTGGAGAGTATCTTTCTCCTTCCATGAATTTATTTAGTTCTTTTTTGAAACCTGTTAGGGTACATCTAGACTACATGGCTCCGTCGACGGAGCCATGTAGATTTGTTGTTTTGGAAAAGGGAAATGAAGCCGTGATTTAAATGATCACGGCTTCATTTACATTTACATGGCTGCCACGCTGAGCCGACAAACAGCTGATCAGCTGTTTGTCGGCTTGTGCGCTAGTCTGGACGTTCCCCCTGTCGACATCAAAGCCCTTTGTCGGCAGCCCCGGTAAACCTCATCCCACGAGGTTTGATGTCGACAGGGGGAACGTCCAGACTAGCGCACGAGCCGACAAACAGCTGATCAGCTGTTTGTCGGCTCCGCGCGGCAGGCA